TCCTCTATTTTTTTTATCTGTGTCCTCTCTAGATTTATTAATCATGTCTTGCACTATGGGCACAATCTTTGCTCTTATCTGAGAAATTATTTCTGGTTTTATTTTTTCCAGATCCTCTTTTGTTGCCAGTTCATGGAGCCCAGGTGGTTGCGCATCAGATTTTTCCATCTTGTTTCCCTTTGGAGTTGCTGTAGGTGATCTGGAAGTCTGTTTTTGAGGCTTGTTTATGTGTCTTCTCATTTCCCCAGGGGATAAGGGTGTGTGCTGCTGGTGCCCGTGCTGCTCACCTCCTCTGCCCTAGGAGTGGTGGAATGGCAGCGGGAAGCCTCCTCCTGGGCGCTGGGATTGGCTCACCTCCTCTGCCCTGGGAATGGTGGAATGGTTAACTCATTTCTAATACTTTGAAATATTTGATTTGAGATGTTTGGCATGAAAAGCCCATTAAATAAATGTCAAATTCCATTTTAACATAAACCATACACTAAAGGGTTTGATGCTCTTAATTTTTCCTTGATTAACTCTGTGTTTTCCCAGGCTCGAAATATGACTCTCTATGGAAGATTCAAGTTACTTAGGGCTGGGACCCTTGTGTGTGACCATGGTGGGTTTCCTGTTGAACTTGTGATGCTACAGCCTTTAAAACTTACAAAGGGTAGTTCTCTTCAGTTCTGTAGGCCCCATATCTGGCTTTGAGTTGTGTATGTACTCCGTAATTGTTCTCTTTATTCACAGAAATTTGCAGACCTCTTCTTGATTGATCACTTCATAGAACGTCATACTTTTTGACTTGTAAGATTTGTAAATATATTTTCTGTTGATTTTTAAAGACTGTCATATTATCTCAAAACAACTGATAGAATCTCACTATATTTAAAATTACATTTTCTATTAAAAGGTATGGGTCTTTTTTTGAATGTGATTCTGCATGTTTTCATAGTCTTAAGATGTTACAGCTTTGATGAATATTAAAAATGATATCCAGTTAAATTTTGAATACCTCACTCAGCTTTTTCTGACTTGCTGTCAAGTTTATGAAAATGTTCTAAAAACAAATAAGCAAGTGTTCATGCACAATTGAAAAATTTCATATTCACGTGTCTCCATTTCACCCACCCCAAACTATAACTTTTGTTGGTATAGACAGAGATGTATTGAAACTCCTTTTACCAATTTGAAGATTATTTTGGAGATGTAAACCAATATTTTTAAGAAATCAAGGTAAGAAAAGCAAAATTTCTAAATCTACAATGGATTATATTAAAAGGGATAGATTTCAATATTTCTTGGTGGGAATCTTCTACAAGCTATAGTGCTTAAAGAGAAAATTCTGGCTTCTATATCCAACTAGATTTTCTTTCAGGATTCATTCAACAAACATTTCTTGGACTCCTTTTATGTGTCAAGCATGATTTCAGGTGATTTGAGATATGTGAGTGAACCAAATAAGAAAATACAGATTCTGTGACCATTAAGTGTGAGATGTCAGCTTGACCAGATTAAGACATGCCTAGAAGAATAACAAAGCACAGTTCTGGGTATGTCTGTGGGGATATCTCAGAGATTAGCAGATTGGCTAGCAAACAAAGTAGGGGAAACCCAGGCCAGTTGTGCATGACACCAATCTATACTCTTGTAGCCTTTCAGGCATGAAATGGAATGAAGAAAGTTGGCCTATGACTTTGAAGAGCTCCAGTCTGCTTGAGTGAGTGCATCTCTGACTCCTGTGACATCAGTCTTCAGCTTCTTCAGCCTTCTCCAGCACACTCATACTAGCAACATTCCAGTGAGGCTCCTGGCCTTCAATCTTGGACTGGTGTTGCATCTTTGATCCCTTTTGTTGTGTGGCTTCCATCTTGATTTGAGCAGCTTCTGGATCCTCCATCTCTCCAGCATGTAGATAGCCATTGGGGACTCTCCTGCCACTGATCCTATAAGCCTACCTGATAATACCCTTTGTATAATTGCACATATATTTTCTATTTATTTTCTTCCTCTAGAGAACCCCTCTCAATACAGATGCCAAAATAAGCATTATACATTAGTAATTTAAATAATATTCCAGAAGAGACTAGGTATATTGAAAAAGGGAGCAGTAGAACACGGTAGTAGGGGAGAAAAAAAGACAGAGGATCATCTGGCAAAGCCTAATTGAAATGGGATAGCTTAAGCAAAGAAGCAAGGGAATGAGCTCAGCATATATCCAGAAGAGAGGTATCCAGGAAGAGGTAAGAGCTACAGCCAACGTGTAACTGAGAATAACAAGGGACCATTAGGGTGGGCCAAGGGGAAGGGAGAGAGCTCTAGTGGGAGCCAATTCAAGTAGGGCTTAGTGGCCAAATATGGACTTTGACTTCTCACTGGAAGCTAGGGAGGCATTGGAATGCATTGGGCAGAAGAGTGACATGATTTAACTTAAGTCTTGAAAGGGTCGTGAGTTTTGCATAAACTTTTGGTGGCCTATCTAGGACCCATGAAGAATCTATAATCCTGTCCAGTAACAGGAGAGGTAGTGAGCAGTGATTAGATCCTAGGTAGCCAAGAGCTTTTTTGACATTAGATATATGATGTGATATGTTTTATTTATAAAATCAACTTATAGTTTGATGAAAATTTTCCAACTCAAACTATTGAAGGACTTGGGAGAATTAAGCTAGAATTTTCAGCTTTCTGATGAAAGGGTCTCATTGTAGCCAATGGAATTTTACATTTCATTCATTTACACATTGACATTCACTCATGGTTGTGAGTGGCACAGACTTCCTAATATGCAATCTAAAATCAGAGCTGAAGACTTCAACCAAACACACTGACCTTCTGTCTCCATTGAACTGGAGCCCATTCTTAGCAGTTTTTGGACCCAGTTCAGCCCTGAATTGTCACGTCCAAATTAAACACAGGCAAGAGTTTCCATTTGTACATATTATTCAGGTATAGCAATGATTAGGAAGAATACCGACCTAGAGATAATTTTGAAGTATGTTATTTTTTCTGCTAACAAGGGTATATGCTTACTAACAAAGAGACTTGGTTGTTACAGAAATATATGGAGATGGCCCACAATTTGCAGTAATTTGACCTGTGACTTTTTGACTGAGTAGTGGGGCAAAAGCTAAAGGCATTTAGTGGAAATTGAGCCTTGAATTTGAATTTCAATCTTTTTTCTGACTAGCAATACTCTTTCACCATACTGGGTAGCGTCTTTGGGCACAGAGCTGAGCCTACAGTAGACTGTTTCTAGGCCATGGTGTTCGGTAGGTTAGGAGCACTCAGTACTTTTCAACTTAGATATGTTCGACTCCTGATGGGTGTATCAGGATGTTACCCTGCCACAGTTTGAGGAGCCTCTGAAATGTGGAACTGACTCCTCTCCTGTCATCTTGCCCAGTAGTTTGTGGAAGAGGCCTTGAGGCTGTGGAGAGAAATCCACCTTACTGGAATGTTCCTACCTGCAGATGTTTCAGAAACTCTGCTGAGGTTTAATCATGGGGCCACTGGGATGCTCCAGCCCCATTCAGACTGATTCATTTGGGCTTTAGCCCAGCTGCCATTCTGCAGCTCAACCACTGCCAGGCAAGCCAGGCAAGCCAGACTCAGCAAGGTTTCTCGCTTTGGACAGGGAGGAGCTCAGCAAGGCTCACTGTGATTGATTGCTGCTGCCTCTTCTTAGGCCCACAGCCTCTCCACCCTGACCTGGAGGATTTGATGACCTTCAGAATTCAGAGCATATTGATCTACTTCATAGGCAACAAATGCTGAAGCCCTGTCTGCTAATGTGACTTCAGAAGGTTGAATATGGATTTGGAAAGAATTACCAGCTGCTCACAAATGTTTTATAAATGATCTGAAACGCAGACACAGAGAAGAAAGACGCTCAGGGTGGGCTTTTGTGTGCACCTGTGCCTATCTTGAGGCACAAGTCATATCCTTTGTGTTTTATCTGGCTCTGTAGTACCCTGGGTCCTTATCAGACAGTGCCATGCATGGAAAATTAGCAAAAGTGACAGGAAAACAGAAAATGTCAAGGATAGGAAAACAATTCTCTTTGTACATTTACACATTTTCTCTGTTAAGCATATATTAATCATTAAGCCTGTTACTCTCCCATAGTACCAAGAATGTAGTGTATATATATATTATATATAATATATAAAATATATAAAATATATATAATATATAAAACATATATTATATATAATATATAAAACATATATTATATAATATATAATATATTATAAATATATATTTATATATATTATATAATATATATATATATTTTTTGTACCAGGGATCGAACTCAGAACCTTGTGCTTGCGAGGCAGGCGTCAGCACCACTGAGATAAATCCCAGGCCCGAATGTAGCATATTTTAAAAGAGATAGAGAGAGAGAGAGAGAAAGAGAGAGAGAGAGACAGAGAGAGATTATGAAACTCTTTGTAGCGGGATGCGGGATGCAGAATTTAAACTTCTTAGGGCAAAGACACCAAGAATTTGGCAATGTGTTACTAAGTGGCAGATTTAGAAAGTTCTCTGTCATTTGATCTTTAAGCTTTTCCTTTTTTTGCTTTTTATACAGAGCATAGGCAGTAAAAATAGTTGTGTTGGTCTTCATTCTGAGTCTGGTTTCACTTCTTTGTCTTTTATGTGGTGGCAGGCTGTCGAATGCCTGAATTTATAAAAAATATCTCAAGGGAACATTTAAAATCTACCCTTGGAATATTTTCTTGACTTTTGTTTAAGGAAATTTGTGTGAATGTGGACTGACTCATATTAGACTGGGTTTTTTCTGGCTGTTTTAGCCTCAGGAAACCTAGGTTTAGATCTTAACTGTACTATTTCCTAGCCATGTGACCAATGGCCATGTTGTATTGCTTTGGTCCACAATTGTTAGAGTGTTACATGGTGGAAACCATGTTCTCTGACCTTTCAGTGAGTTGTTTGGAATATTTGAAGAAAAATATGTGAAATATTTCATTGCAAACTTAAAAGTCTACTAAAGGCTCATTATCAGCATTGAAATAGTTCTACATTTATTTGTGTATTACTGTTCAGGGAAAACCTTTTTGAGAAAAATACATCTAAAATTGAGTTTGGATTTTCCCTTGGAAAAAAGAGATGTGGAAATGATGGGATTGTCCAATTCTCTGGAGTGATCTATTAAATTCAGAGACAGACTGAAAAGGGAGGGGAAATTTTTCTAAACAGGCATGTAGCTAAGTCACTGCCTTTGAGACATGCCTTTGATATTTCAGGCCACTGTCGTTGATTTATTGTGCTGCCCATTCTCCTGCTTGTGGAGTGTGTGTGTAGATATAATATTAACACATAATTGTGTTATAAAAGTGTGAATTATCTCGGCAGTTAAAGGCTGTGGATTAAAAGGTGATGCTATCTCTGAGGTGTAGTTTTGAGGGATGGGATTTCCATTGTGTGTGTTCCTTTCCATAGGTGGAGAAGAAGAAAACTCCCACCCCACAAGCCCGCTGTAAAGATAATGCCTAATTTGTAAGTTTCTCTTCTGCTGGTTGTACTGTGGGTCCCCAAGTGAAAAAAATGCTTGTCCAAGATCTTGTGTCAAAGCAGCTGTGTCACCTGATACAGCAATACAATGTTCTGCTGGTTCTTCTCCAACTCATGATTAAAGGGCAAGGGAATGACCATTTCTTTTCAGTTCTGTCCAGTCCTAAGGACTCTCAGCATTTGCTAAACGGTCTAGGCCAGTTTCACACCCTTGACATAAAAGAGCCTTTGAATGGTGGAATAGATTTGAATCACTGTTAGTTGTTTCCTTAGTAAATATTCAGTTTCTGCCGCACCCAGGGGAACCGAGCCCTCTAAAAGTCAGGCAAGTGGGGAAGTATATTCATTTTGTAGATTAATGACATCAATTGCCATCGCAGGGAGTAGAACCAAATCAAGAAGTTGTAGTTTTTTTTTTTTCCTTAGCAGATGCTAATTTATTTAACATGTTGAAGTGTCTGAGAATTCAAAATTATCTTTGAATAAACTGGTTTGTAGTTGTAACCCAGCTTCGTCACTTACTAGCTGAGACACTTAGGGATTTTGCTTGGTTCCTTCTGAACCTCAGTTTCCTCATCTGCAAAAAGGGTAAGGTTGTGGGGATCCCATCAACAGTTCCATTTAACGTACCGGTAGGCAAACCTGGAGCATCACAAACACTCTCTAAGTGGTGGCTAGTGTTTAAACAGTTTATAAAAATTTAATTTAAGCAAGGAAATCTCCTATATACTGAAATCCTTGGAAAGCCAGAACAAAAACAATGTGTTCAAAGTCTTCTGTTGGCATTTGTGTAACAGCATTTGGTGCACTCATTGTTATGCTAATAGATTGCTGGGAACCCTGGCTTGATTTTCACTACATAGGAGTGCTCCTTTTGATTTAAAGAGTCATGGTGAAGCTGAAATGTGATGATGCAGAATAATGCTGATTTGTAACAACGGGCTTGAGATTTTACAGACATGCTAAGTAAGGTAGGCCCAAGGCAAATCCTCACTTGCCAGTTCATTTTCTAGACCCAGCCCCTGGACCTGGTTCCCCATGCTCTGCAGAAGCAACAGCCCTAGGAGCTGCACCTCAGGGACATCTACAGGGCTGTCCAGTGCTACCTTACTTCTTCCTTCCTTTTATTTTCCTATTTCCCCTCTCCCTTCCACTGTCGTCTTTCCCCCCTTTTTACTATATTCTTTGTTTTCATTAATTCTTTATTATTCTCCATCCCAAGTCTGAAGTTTGCCACAAAAATCTGGAGACACTCTGCTACCAATGAAGTGACAGAAATGCTGGCATTCATAGCCTCTCGGGACAGCATAGTTTATTAAGTAAAGGTAGCCTAGGAGAGCTTGACCTTTCTAGATGTCAGTCACCACACAGGCCTTTCGTGTGAATTAATCATGGTTTCCAGTAATTGCTGAGCTTAGAGTTGTGTTGCAAATGAAACATTTATTTTTGGAATTCTTCCTGATGGACTATGAATACAGCAAATGGTCATTTGACCTACATAGGGTGATACCAAAAAAAAAAAAAAAAAGCAAGAAAAAGAAAAAGGAAGTAGCAGTGTCTGATGCTCTAGGGTTATGCATTTCTTACTGCTCTTTGAGAAAATGAATGGAGATACCAATAGCACGAGCATCACAAGATGAAAGAGGGAATATTGTCTTCAAAGCAATAGAACTGGTGCCAGAAACGCTCATGCAGGGGCTAGCTCTACTGGAGGTGGGAGTGTTGCAGCTGGTGAGGACCAGAAAATACTGCACAGAACAGCAGGTGCGATGCCGATGCCAGAGGACTGTGTGTGGGCACAGAGAGAAAGAGACAAAGCAGTTGCCAAGGGACAGGTGACTAGGATTCAACCAGTCATAAAAACAGATCAACTTTCTTTTCCAAGCTTTTTCTTTACAATACTGACTCTCTAGATATTGCTACCGTCAAAATAAAGAGAAAATTATGATGAAAGCAACGTTGAGAGAGCTTTTCAGAACGGAGCTGGAAGGCCGTGAAGGAGCAGGACTGACACAGGATCTCAGCTGTTGCCTAGGAATGTGAACTTTGGTTTTGTTTTGCTGCGTTTGACAGCAGACATCTGGAAGGACTGAATAGCTAGACGATTACATTGCTGTACCTAGAGGCTGGGGAAGCAGATTTCACTTTATAGTCATTTCCATTTGTGTAGACTTTCTCTTTGCGTTTTCTTCTATGTGTCATGTAGCTCCTGTTCCTTCTCAATATTCAGTGGCTTCCTCTTTTCCTGCTCTTTTCAGAAAACAAAGAGTATGATTCAGAGCTGTCTGGACCTGTGTCCCCTGAATTGCAATTCTTAAGGCCCCAAATTATTTTGTGCTTTGCAGTTTCTGAGGTCGAATAACAAGTACCACAGAGCTGTCTTCTCATGATGAACTGTTCTCCTGAGCTCGCAGAAATGCTATTACATACTTCCTTCTCTAGTTAGACTGGCAGCTAACCCCTCATGCTATTTCTTCAAGTTGTACAGTTCCAAAGCTATATTTACTCTCTTTGGACAATGGGTATTTATGTGGCAAACAGAGACTTCTCCCTTTTGGACTGAAGTCAGAATCTCCCTTACATTGGCCTTGGGCTTCAACCGACATTTCTGCCTTTCATAGAACCCAAGACTTGTCTACTACAGTCTCCAGTTGTGATTTTTGTACTTTTTAACATTTGTAAAAAACTGGAAATTGATCAAGATGTCAGAATAAATGAGAGTCCTCTTAGTGATGCTTTTATCCTTAGTGATACGGCCCATAAGACTGGGGCACTGTGGACATGTCTTCCTTACCTCTTGCTTTATGGACACCCCAGGGAGTGTGAGACTCTGGGAAAACTTGTTTTCTATGGGTGCCTTGTTTATGTGTGATCAAATATATGGTGAACATTTAAATAAAAAAAACATAATAGTAAAAAAAATTGCCGTTAATCCACTTCAAAATACTCCCCCTTGCTTGGAACACATTTATCCCATCCTTCTTGCCACTTTCCAAAGCAGCTCTGGAAGTTCTCTTTCATGAAAGTCTTTAGGAGTGTGATTAAAAAAAAACAACTACAGTGAATGTTGCTGCTAAGTGCAATCCAACATAAAGACATGATTGTAAAAATATTAGGATGTGTCGACATCCAACTTGGTCACTGGGCCTCACATCATGTAGCTTCTGGCTATTCCTCAAGGTCAAAATAACCATAAAAAGTAAATGTTTTGAATCAACTCAGGACATGGAGGTAGCCAGAATAAAGACACTGGTGAAAGAGGACTTCCAGAACTGCTTCAGGAAGTGGCAAGAAGGATGGAAGAGTGTTTTTAAGTAAGTGAGCAGGAGTGTTTTAAGAAGGGTTAATGGCAATGTGTTTTTTACTGTGAAAAGTTTTTAAAATTTAAACATTTGCCATATTTTTTCTCGTGTAAGTAATTTCATGGAAAAATACTTTGCAAAATTTTGTAGACACATGTGAGGCCTGGCAATTTATCACTAGGATTTAGGTGATAGAGAAAAAGGAGTGATGTATTTGTTTACTGTACAACCAGGGCACTTAATAATTCTTCATAGTATTCAGACACCGTCTCTTTCACTTCAGATCCAGGAATAATCCCTTCATATTCTTTATTGTCAAATGTGCCATCACCGTGTAATTTCATATCTGTCACTGTGAGAAAAAGACAGCCATGTTGTTATCATTCCAGCCCTGCAGACAGGTAAGCTCCCCCTGCCCATAGACATTTGTCTCATGCTGCTACATGGTCAGGATGCACCAATTATCCTGCTAAGTGAAGTCTGGCTTCTGCTGCCTTTTTCAAAGATCGTTCCTATGTTTCTTTGAAGATGACCACAAATGCACAGAGTATGCAGGAAAATGCGAGCACTCATTTATTTTATGGTCATGTTAAATTTACCCTTTGGAACTTTATGGTATAAATATAGAACAATACATCTTCTGACTGTTTTCTCTTGAATTTTGTAGGCTGTAGTCACAGCAGTGCTGTAATGTCTTCTCTTTCCATGTTGACTGCTGCCGTGGGTTCCATATACTGTCTCCGGTGGGGCAGGGCATGTAGGCGATGTGAGAAGAATAGTTCCATTCAGGCAGGGAATCCCCAACCCCCACCTGACTCCCCTCACCTGGGAGAGCACAGTCTCAACTCATCAGAGGAAGAATCGATATGAGTGGGTTGGAAAGACTAAGTCTCTTGGAAGAGACGGGGAACCAAGCCCCAAGAAATGTTACCTATGTTGCCGAACTTGCAGAGGGAGGGGGGTTGGGGACGATCCAAAGGGGGTTCAGCAGGTAAAGATTAGCTGCTACCAGGTGGAGTAGATCAGAGATGGCACCGCAGTGGCAGCATGGTGGGATGTGGAGGATGCCAGGACCACAGTGCAGCTCACACTCAGGGGTCAGCTACGGACTGTTGGGAGGTGGGAGTCCTGAACTCCACCAGTGTCTAAGTGAATGAGGATTGCTCGAAATCAGGGTGTCAGCCCCATCTAGCAGCCCAGTCTCACACCACTCCATGAAAGCAGCACTATGCCAGTCAGCAGAATCGATCTGCTCACCAGGCTGCTTTCCTGGAACTGGAGTCCATCCCCAGGGCCCAAGGATGACCTTGCAGGCATGACTTCTGGGGCTTTCTGGGCATCTGTAGTCAGTTGGAGAAGTCTAAAGGATACAAAAAGGGTCTGGGCACATGCTTGCCCCTAACCAGGCTGAGGGAACCCATTCAGACAGCACTAGCAACTCCTTCCGGGTCCAGGGAACAGAGGGTTTGGGATAAAGGGCTTAGAAAACATCATGAAGAGATGAGCAATCATGGGCTCCTGAAGCACTGAAGTTGAAACAGGATCCTCCTTCCTCTCTTCCTCTCTCCCTCCCGCTCCCTCTCTCCCTTCATCCCTGCTCCTCCTTTCTATCCTTCCTTCCTTTTTCCTCTCTTCCATCCTTCCCTCCTTCCACCATACAGATAAGTACATTTCATATCCCACATATTAAGACAGTTTGAGACTAAAGAAAGAAGGGATAGTATTAGCTCGGTCTAGGGTGGGTGCTAGCCCTGGGACAGATGGGGACACAGATGCAAAGTGACATAAAATGACGCTCAACTTGTCTTTGGGTATCTGTAGCTAATGAGAAAATTGTATAATGTAGGTAAAATAATGACAGTAGCTGTAGCTATATTTTGGAAATATTAGGGAAAAGTCTTTCTTTATTTTGATTTCTAAACTCTTAGTTTCCAGGAGAATCCCAGCTGCCAAGTAGTTATTAAAGTAGGCCCTGGGAAGAGAGTGTCTGGGTTTACCCTAGATTTTCCACTCATTGCGTGGATGATCTTAGACAAACTGTGTTACATTTTGGTGACTCAGCTTCCTCATTCATAAATGGAAATAATGACAGCACCTGTTAGCAATGAGTTTGGCTGCAAGGAACAGAAAGTGTGGTGTATAGTGGCTTAGACAAGAAGATGTTGGAAAAGCAGGTGTGGTTGACCAGTAGTACATTGAAGAAGTGATTTTTTTTTTTTTTCCAGCTCTTGTTTGTGCCATAGCTGGTGTGTCATTTCACTTTCTATTCAAGAAGAAGAGGAAAGACTTTGTAAATAGGGAGGAATGGAGGGGTTGAAGGGAGGGCTGGGCAAGGGTGAAAAATAAGAACCAAGAGAGATTATGTAAAGGTGCAAATTTCCAATGATGAATGTCATTCTATTGTATACCTAAAATGTAACCAATGATTAGAATGAATAATTGATAATGCAAAATAGGAAGAAAATGTCCAAAGGGGTAAGGGTAGTGGGAGGGGCAGGGGAAAGGAAAGAAGGGAAAGGAAAAATGCTGAGAAATGGAAAAAATGTAAACAAAGTCTTTGTAAATAGGGAAGGGAGGGCTAGGAATGGGGAAAAAAACAAGAGCCAAGATGCATCATGTAAAGGTACAAGATCCCAATGAGAAATGTAATTGTGTTGTATACCTAAAATGTACCAATAAAAGAATTAAAAAAAAGAAGAAGAAGAGGAAAGAGAAATAGTGGAACCTCAGTGGAGTCAGTCCTTTTATCAGAAATGTCAAAGCTGTTCCAAAAGTTCCAAAAAGCAGAAATTCACTGATGAGACTAAATCATGTCTCCTAGCCACCTTTACTCAAGAATTTAAAATTGGATATGGACCAAATACAGCTGTACCTACTTATGGGCTACAAAGTGATGCTATGGATTTTTTTTAATATGATGTGAAATTGCTAAATGAAGCCAACCAACCCATCTACCATCTCACACGTTTGATATTGTCCACTATGAAAACGTGTGACATCCACCTTATCAGTGACACTGAAATGCATAGGACTCAGCTGTTAGCTGTGTTCAGTATTCTGGGCAACGTGTCTGGAAAAACAGTCAAAGTTATTTCTCCCATCTAACACGGCTTTTGTGTTCCTCTGGTAACTGCCATTCTGCTCTCTGCTTTTACGAACCCAAACATTTTAGCATAAGTGAGAGCATGCACTGGGTGTATTTCTATGTTTGGCTTATTTTTCGTAGTACAGTGTTCTCCAATCCCTGTTGCAAATGAAAGAATGATCTCTTTTACAGGCAGCATGGTATTCTGTTGTGCTTTGATGCCACATTTTCTTTTCTCTCCCATCTGTTGACAGACAGTTAGGTTGGTACTGTTACTTGGCTGTTTGAACATGACTTTGACATATTGACTTGGAACCCTGCTTGCATTTGGGAGGACAAGGGAATCACAGATATGACTTGAGTCAGACAATTAAGAGTGTTGGATAGGATACGTTATATGACTTGCTGGAATATTAAATCATAGAATGACTGTGAAGTACTTAGAAAATTTCTAAGTGTTTAAATGCTAGCTTACTACCATTTCTGGAAATATTAAGAGATGGTGTGGTATTTTTGCCTACGTATTAAAAGCTGTCATCACTTTCGGAAATAATTTTGAAAAACCTGTGGCAATAAGAGGAAAAGGAAGAAGTTCACGACTCCCTCTGGAGAAAGTTTAGAAGGAGCAGAGACCAAGAGTGAAGGACCCGCATCCTGGGCAACGCCTGGGATGGATCTCCCTGGGGAAAGGTGGGAGGGGCACACGGTCCCAGAGAGCAGGGCTGGAGGGGGAAGGGGCCCTGGGGAGTAGAGGCCAAGGAGCCGCGGTGACTTTCTTATTCTTTTCTTATTCTTTTTTTTTGTTGGTACCGGGGATCGAACTCAGGACCTTGTGCTTGTGAGGCAGGAGGCGGAACCACTGAGCTGAATCTCGACTTTCTTATTCTTAACTGGGGTAGTATACGGAGCACAGTCTCCTCAGGTTTTTCACGCCGACCAACCGTGTCTATTTTGTCAAGATCAGTCCAGATTGGGGACTGCCACTTTTCCTCCTTGGTTTTCTTTGGCTTAGGTCACTACTGACACCTGTTCAGAGGTCGGGATGTTTTGTCTGCCCAGCAGGGCTCCACATACACAAGTGCACCCGCATTTCACTGGTGGCCCTTTTCCAAGGTGCTAGCTTGATACTTTTCAGAATGCTCTGAAGGGTAGTTTGGAACTCTTCTCTGCTGACTCCGCTGGGCTCAGTTTCAAATCTCTTCTAATTCACTGATGAACCTTTATTAAAGTGGGAGAAAGAGGGTGAATCAGTCTCCGGGCGCATTGTCAAAATGAAGTAGGAGCAGTGAAAAGATCAAAAGAGAACAGCAATACAGGGGCATCCGGCCTTCTACCAGCCCTTCAGTCTCTTTGAAACTGATTTTATTTTTTGGAGATTATCAGTATAAGTAGGTTAATTTTCAGCGGTGACCTTTCATTTTGTTTTATTTTAGTTTCAATTTTGTTTCGTTTTTCTAGGAAGCTACATAAAAAGATTGTTCAGGTTGAATAGGTCAAATACCTGTGGGGATTGATAGGACTAAATAGGAAATGTGCTGCTGACCTTGTGGAATTTTCACAAAGGATCTGCTGGATCAAATGGCACTTCTGAGCTCCCCTCCAGATGGTGACTGTTATGCTCACCTCTTGATCTCTTCTGCCACCCACTCTTGGTCCCTGTGGCCGGGACATCCTGAGTCCATAATGACCCCGTGCTGAGCTGTGAAGGACACAACCTGTACCTCTTCAGAATGTCCACTCACCCTACAGTCATCCACCAAGGGAGAGATGCCTTCCAGATAAGCCAGCCACTTCCCGGCTCCAGCCCTGGGCTGGGCTAATCTTTCCTTGATCTTCCGTCACGGTTATTCACTGTCCTGTGCTCCTGACTCGTACATCTGCAAATGAGCAAACAATGTTCTGGTTGGCTGCACAGAGATGGAAGAATACAGTGGACCCTTGAGTTACGACCGGCCTGCCGTAAGACCAGCTTGGGTTGCGACTGGAACTTTAGTTTTAACTTACGACCAAAGTCTTGAGTTACGTCCTGAATGCTGGCTGCTTGTGCTTCTAGATGGTCTCAGATGCAAATTTAACCCTTGAAGAGTCCTAGAAGGAACATTACAAGGTCCTTTCCTGTATGAGGTTAACTGAGGCGTCCTGTGCCAGTGTGTCTCTAAGGATGTTGAGATCTGCCTGGATACAGGACAGAGACTTTGAAGGCTGTGTAGAGGAGCTGAGCCTTCAGTTGACCAACTTGAGTTGAATAGCCCTTGGGAAGGAGTTGAGTTTGTAAGTCAGGGTCTGCTGTACCTCAAAATTCCTGGCCCCCGAGAAACTGGCATTCTGCCAAGTAATGTATTTTATAAGAAATTATACTAATTTTAGTCACTAAGTTAAAAGAGAAAACCTTAATGAAGTAAAATATTATTCTTGGTACTTGTTTTTGTCAGTCCTTGTTTTCTGCCTTAACTTCGTCTTAGTATATGCCCTCTACAGTCATCTTGGGGAGAGGGTACCTGTACGTGATATAACATTTCTTTTTCTAAATCCCTTTCCCTTCCTGCTTTCTCTCTCTTCTCTAATTCCCCTTTCCCCATTTTCATTCTTGTTGATATTATTAATCTTAGCTCCTGTTTATGTACATAATTTTTCCATTTCTTGGGGTTGTTAGGTTCCTGTACGTGGGATACCTTTATTCTACTCATTTCTCTTTCCCTTCTGCCTCACCTGTGCACCTTGACCTCTTGGGCACTTTCCCATTTGTAAAAGATCCATCCCCTCGTCTCCCTTTACCCATCCTTTATTATTCTCTTTGTTTGTCCTTCGTCTTACTCAAACGAGAGATACCACACAGTGTTTAAACTTATGTGACTGGTTCATTTCACTCAACTTTATATTTCCAGGTGCATCTATTTTCCTATAAATGTCTCAAATTTATCTTTCTTCATTCACTAACTTTTTAAATGGGAAAAAAGACCATTACATAAACCTATTCTTAATATAGCCATGAGTGATGTGAGTTCACCTTTGTTTCTCTCCCTCTCACTCTTTCCACATATGTAGAAATTATAGATAAATAAGGTACTTGTAAATAGCACATCTGTTAATGACATATGTATAAATACATACCACATATATCTATACCTACCCCGTATCTATTGTATGTTATTCCTTTCTGGTCACCTGAATAGAGTTATTAGTTAAATCAATGATTTTCAACCTTATATAGCATTTAGCATTATTTAGAGTGATTACATATACCAATTCCTATACATCTGTCTGTCCGTCTGTCTATCTATCTACCTACCTATCTTCCTCTGGTCCTTAAGGAAGGAATGATTTTGTTCAAATGAGAAGACCAAGAAGCTATGGCTCAGAGAAAGTTTCTGCCTGAGGTCAGAACTAGTTACTGATGACAGTGAGGTTTGAAGAAAATAGTGGATGGTCTGTTTTCATTCATTCCCCAAACAGTCATTGTGACCGAATGCACTAGACATGTTTGATGCTAGGGTTTAGCAATGAACAAAAGAAGAGAAAAGCTCTTGACATTATAGAACTTGTATTCTAGTAAGGGAGAAACAAGGGAACTGTGTTACACAGAACATAAGAAGGTGGTGAGCATACTGGCAGGAGCCAGGCACCATGGGCAAGGAGCCGCAGGCTGTGCATTTAGGTAAAGTGGTCAGAGAGGCCTTGCTGGGAAAGTGACTTTGGAGGAAGGCTTAAAGGAAGTGGGAGAATAAGTCATGGAGATATCTGGGGGGCCATGAAAAGTGTGCAGCCCAAGGGGTTTAGAGCAGAGTGATGGGCACCCCAGGCTGAGGCCAGAGTGGGAGCCGGGATGAGGCTGGGGATTGCTGGAAGGATCCTGGCTCTTTCTGTGTGGCTTTAAAATCTGTTGGCTGCTTGGGGCAGAAGAGTGAACATGCTTAAGATTTGGTTTCTTTTAAAAAACTGAAGGAAACACTGTAGGAGGGCACAGCGGATGCTGGGCGTCCTAGGTGTTAGTTTGTGGATGAATGCATCCAGTGGACAGCAGAATTTGGCTCTCAATTTCTGAGTCCTGGTTAGGAGACTCCCACTAACTGCTGGAGGGTCTCGGGTGCTATCAGGTAATGGCCTTTCAAAGGGAAACTAACAAGGAATAGTTAATATGCAAGCTTGAGCCAGTTTCCTCCTGTTCCCTCTGATCTGTCACCTGTTCCAGCTCTCAAGTTTGTGTTTCTTTTTCTCAATTCCGGAGCCTCTCTGCTGTGC